GGGGGGGGGGGGGGCAAAAAGCAACATAATAACGCTGGTATGCATAGCTAGCGTATGTAAAAGGAGAGAGGCGGAGGAGAACACAGGAGGCGGCGGTGGCGTGTTGTGTGACGTTCGCCTTGTTTTGCCTCTCACGCGCGCCCGCTCGCGAGCTACTTGCGTGCGAGCACAGCTGCGGATCCACGAACATGGATCAGCGGAAATACAAGCACTACTACAGCAGCGTATAACAGTAGCGGGCCGTATCCTGCGTGGCTGGCTCGAATATCTCGCTCATGACATTACTACTACTGCTGTACCACCAGCCATTGCGCAAAACTGCACATCGTGTATTGCAATCCCCTCCTCGGTGCTGCAACCCCGCTGTCTCTCGGAACACTTGCACACCTACATACCTCTTTGAGCTTCTCCGCTTCGATCTCGCTGCCGCCCCTGGGCAGCATCCCCAAGTTACGCTCCACCCACGCGGACCTGTCCTCAGGCTGCACGTCGCTTACTCCTTTGTCTTGCCCCGCAATGCCATTGACAACTGCTGCGGCACTATGTTCAACGTCATTGCTGCCAGCTGGGCTGGTAACCTCAGCAACAGCAACAGCGGCACCTTGAGCCCCATGCGCGGGAGCCGGGGACAAGCAGGCCGTTGAGTCGAGCACCGCTCCTAGCACCGCGGCACCGTCGTCCTCCGCTTGGCCGTTGGAGCTTGCGGCAGCCCCCTTCAATGCCTCCAAGCCACGATCCCTGCTGTTCGCCTGGGCATCCACGCTGCCGCCGCTGCCTGCCATTGTGCTGTCGACACCGTGGGGTAACATCTCGTCCGGGAGCTGCCCCATGTTTTCCTTGTTCGCGACATTGCCGCCGGATTTCGAGCACATGGCTCCCATGCTTGCGCTCACTCCGTCGCTACCGCTGTCACCGCTGCTACCCTCGATACTAGCCTTCTTCCTGTGCCTACCTTTCGTCCCTGCCGCGAGCCCAGGGCGCCCGCCCGGCCCGCCGGCGCGTGTTGCGGGCGCGGGTGCACTGCTGCTGTTGTTCTTGTTGTCGTTGGTAGTAGGGCTATCGAGGGAAAACGTCCACGCTGTTGCCTTTGGATAAGCGGACATCTCTCTGTCTCTGCTGCCTTCCGCCTCGCTACGCTACCAGCCCCCGTTTGCCTTCCGGACAAAACCGTGATTGACGTCACGAGGAACTTCACTGCCGTGGTCCATGCAGAGCAAGCAGCCTTCGCTTCTTGTCCAGTTAGCTCTCTTGCGTGCGAAGCTGGCTCCAACCAACCGCCATTTTTTTTTTTGCTGGTATCCCCTATCCCCTCCATCCCACAAACACGCGTTGTGAACCCTTTTCAGTCACGGTTAGTCAACCATTTCGTGTGTCGGTAGACGTGACAGTCGTAGCTTTGCTCGGCACTCGCACCACCTTGGACGACCAGTACCAACTCGTGGCAACTACACGGCAAAGGAGCACAGGCGCACACGTAGCCGTTTTTCTGCACGATCTGCCTCCAAGCCTTTGCTGCGGAAATAGATCAGACGGCTGCTATTACTGCTGCTCTGTCTGTGTTGCACAGTGAGGGTGCCCATCCAGGGTGTTGGTTATCATGGAGCGGGGGCAGTCACTGAAGCGGAGACGAGGCTGGCTCTTGGCGGGGTGCTCCCTGCTAGCCGCCCCGGTACAAGCAGCAGGTAAGGCTTTGCGTAGAAGGAAGAGGGGATGGGCCAGTAGTCTGTTGGTTTCAAGTATGGCTCGTCTGGCCTCGACGTGCTCCCGGCGATGCGGATACATTTCAACTATGTCCTGGCGTCAGGCGATGCAGGCTGTTGCTTGCATCCCGGTCACGCGTGCGTGTCCTTCCGATTCTACAGCTCGGGGCAAAGGCCGTTTCTAGCTTCCGCTGCGACAGGCAGTAGCGTTCTGCGTAACATTACGCCTCTCATGTCGGTTCTCGTTCATCGCCAGAATGCATGTGCGGGTGTCCTCGAGGTGTCCAGCGTTCAAAAATGGCTACATAATCCCAAGAACAAGTAGAGAAACAACGCGGAGAGATTGGTCACACATACATTCATTTGCGTATCCCCCCGCAATACACTGCTGCTGAGTAGACATCCACACACGAAGCACTCGTGTGCTTCTTAACACACACACCCCGGCCCGGCCCTCGCGCTAACCTCAACCCTGCCGCTGCCGCTGCTGCTTAACCCCGTTCGCTGTTCAGCGTGGCCCTCATGGGGCACGCTATGGCCGTCGTTGCCACTGTCGCCGCAGAGCTCGCGTAACCAAGCCGCCGAACCGTCCCGCCAAAACCATCACGGCACTACTCATCCTGCAGCAGCAGCAGCAGCGGCAGAGAAACCGCCTTCGCTACGCGGCGGGCGCAGGTCTCCCTCACGGCAACTCAGAGCCGGCAAGGTCAAGAAGCACCGCACCATCCCCTTACCCTCGCGGGTTTTGGAGGTGGCCATCGCCGTTCAGGGACGACACGGCGACTGGAACGCGTGCTCCGCCGAGACTTGCACGCAGACCAGGCTTGTCTTCTGCGAGACGCTGGACTCGAGGATCGTGGTGTCGAACGACCTGTGCGGGGATGAGCTCCCCGCCGCCGAGCGGGAGTGCACGGGTGCAGACATCGACGAGGTGTGCGGCGGCAGAGATAGTAGCGCTAGAGGGGGACCGACGCAGCAGCAAACGAGCGGCGGCAAAAATAACAGTGCGGACAGCACCACCCTTGCGGAAAATGCGGGCGGAAGCAACGGGCAGAAGACGGGTGATACGCACAGCCCGGTCGTCTCCAACAGCCAGAAGGGGAAGGAGGTGCCTTCGGCGATACCGCGGGGGGGGGAAACAACGGCCAGCTCCAAGACGGGAGAGGAGGGGGGAGAGGAGGAGGAGGAGGCCGGTGGCCCGGCGTTGAAGGGGAGTGCGTCGCGGGATGACGCTGCAGACAGGTCGTCTCGGCCACAGGTGACTGAATCGTGTCTGCACGCGCGCGCTTTGTTGTTGACTTGCCAACACACGCACAGATTTCAGTGGTCAGTCGGATAGCGCGGTCGATTCTATTGGTAACAAAAACACACACATCAAAGGGATCGCGCCGGTACGGAGACGATAACCGTTCTCATGCGCGCGCTGCATGTGTCGCCTGCTTTTCTGCCGCCGTGTGGATGAAGACCACGTTTATTACTGGTGCTTCCCGTCTCTCTGGCCGTGTACCGTAGTGTATGAAATTGAACGCTACACGCGTAGACACCCATGCAGCAAGGTGCATGTGCTATCCATGTGCTACAGCTGGATTGCTCGTGTCTCTTTTCCTTGCCAGATCAAGTTTCTCCTCATCCAAGGTAGTGCGTCCAAGATAGCGATGAACAGCAATTGATCTTTTTAAATCCGTTTGGCGTTAGCAACAAGGAAACCATTAGTACAAAAAAAGAAATAGTAATGGAACGGATGGTAGCATGCTAGTGGGATGGTAACAATCACGCAGCCCTCGTTGGCAAGGGTTGTGAGCCATGCCCCGCCCCTCCAGATCCACGAAGGCAGTGACGCAACGACTGCTGCAGTTTCTGCTGCTGCACGCAACAGCTCGTTGGGAGCAACAGTTTCTTGAGCAAACGACGTGTCATGGGGAGTTGGTCGCTCCCGCGTTACCGCTCGGTTATCCGTCCCGTATGCCCCCCCCCCGCTGCCTTTGATGGTTTTAGGGAAGGCTGGGAATTTTTCTATTTCTGTCTTGGAAGCTCCTGGCTGTTCCGTTTCAGTCGTTCCTTCATGCTGCCTGCTGCAACGATACGGTCTCTTTTTACTTGCATGCCGTTTTTTTTTTTGTACTTTGTATGTTGTTTTTGGGGTGTGGCGAGACGTTGTTCCGAAACTTTCTGGGCAAACCTGATACGACTGAAATTTTTGCTTCGTACGTTCGTGGGAACGGTTGTGGATGCACTGGGTAGAGGTCTTAGGGGTCGTTCTTGATGGAAGACAAGCCTGTCAGCAGGCGGCAGCGCGGCAGCCGCCGTTCCCTTGACTGGTAATCAGCATACCGAAGAAGTCACCGGCACTGCGCTCCTCCCGTATCCAATTGTCAGCCCACTCACACAACCCACGCGGCCGTAAAACCGTGCTTGAAGCATTCGAGGCTTGGACGACTTCTCGCAGCCCGGCAAAACCCTGGTGGTATCTGTGTGCTTGCATGCATATTTCGTAAAAACTGTGACTCCCCCCTCACCCCCCCCGTGCCCCACAGGACGAAATTCCCGCAGCAGCATCAACCAACGAGTCCGCTCACATACTGGCGGCGAAACAGCAGTCTGCCATGTCTCGGATGGGCGGGCCAGGGAGGAACCGTGCCCAGTACCGGTTCTGGCTGGTGATGGCCATCGGAGCCGGAGCCGTGGGGTCGTTCTTGGCCGTTGTGGTCTTCGCCGTGGGGCAGTACCGCAAGGTGGGAGACCCGCCTGGACGGAGGCGTTTTCTTAGGGGAGGCGTTCCGTAGTGGGAAAGTGATGTGCGCTCTCTTTTTTTTTGGGTGGGTGTGAGGGATGCTGCATGCCGTAGTCGTTAAATCATTGACCTCGCATCCCTATAAATAGCCGGGACGGGTTCTCACCGGACCAGGGGGGGCGCGGAAGACGCGGTCTTTTGACGCATGCCGTGATCCTCCTTCCTGTTTCATTTTATGGAAGTGTCGTTATTTTTTCAACGCACGTACATGCGCGAGGGCCGTGTGGGGGAGATAGGAAATGGGAGTTGGATGGGTGATTTGTTGCGTTTTTCGGACTCAGGGGACGGGTGTGCGTGGCAAGCCCGCAACGGCTTGTGCATTATCTCTTTTCACATAAGGTATCTCTGTTTTTTCCCGAATGCTTGATGGGAGTTCGTCGCTGCTCCATCGCATGCAAGAGGTTTTGATACTACTAGCAGAGAGCAGTCGGATCACAAATCATTGTTTGGGATGCATCCCTTGCTCTTTCTATATGCTTGCATCCCGACTAAACATTTTCCAATTCAATCCATCCCCTTCGGCGTGGTTACATCACGTACGTGTCGGTAAGTACATTTTCTAAACAATATCGATAGTACTGTGGCACGAACAGTCTCTTACCTACCTGTGGAAGAGATGGATTTGTTGTATTTTGAACGAGAACGCGCGAAAGAAACAGCCTCGAACGAAAAGAAACAAAACAGCCTCGCTTGGTCGTGTCGTCGGTGCGGTGTGTCTTAACTGCTGCATCTACCTGTCTTTCTATGCGTGCGTCGTCCATTTCCGCCCAGGAGCGGCACCGTCTCCGAGGTATAATGCCCCTCAACGAGTTCCCCCAGGACAACTACATCAACCCGTTCGCTAAGCAGCTGTCTTCCGACCTATCAGACGACGATCGATCGGCCTTCAAGCTGTAAAGACTTGGTTGCTGCTTGATCTTCCGAAGTCCGTTAGCAGCTCGTCCTTGGTCGGACGAAATTTTGTTCCCGTGTAGCTGGCGAAACACCGGCGGTGTGGGTTTTGCGAGGGTGGTTCTGAGGTTTCGCCTTTAGTTGTTCTGTTCCCAGTCTTTGGCTTGTCTTGTCTTTTGGCTAGTATCGGGGGTTGCGATCTTCGCCGGTGGATGTTGTCCACCAGTTATGGTGACGACAGCGTTTTTTTTCAATTTTTGTTGTTGTTTGTTGGTCTTGTGTGTGCGTTCTCTAGCTTGACTGTCCTCGACTGTACGACTGTTTATCCCGTCTGCTGTTCGTGCCGCTGTTTAGTCGGCTGCGCTTGGCCTCCCACATGTGCTTGGGGGGGACTCCGTGTGGCAGTATAGTACAACGTCGGCTGCGCTCTCCGCACATCCCAAGATTGTGATTCGTGTCTCGTGCTATGGTGTTGTTTTTGTGATGCTTGAAAGGCGTAGGTCGTAGAACAATAGCCTTATCTTCGAATACTCTTTGAGATTTTCCCTCGTGCGCGCGCATCGCAAGGAGGCGTGTGTGGGGTGAACCGAATCTTTTCACTTCGTATTTTTTCGAGCAATGCCTACAGTGCCAACACCTTCCCCGGCGAACGCCGCTGTCGCTGTGGTAGCACGGGCACCTTCAGAGCCTTCAGGAGGTTTGGGACAGGTGGATAACGCTAGCGGCTGAGCTCGGCCTCTCCAGGGACGTTGATGGCGCGGGGGGGTTCTGTAACACCCTGCTTGGTATATGTCACAATTCGTTGGAAGGGGGGGGGCGCCGTGGCGTGGCATCGCGGCGTAGACGATAAGGATGGAGGTATTCAAGGAGGCCGCTTTTTTGTCGGCGAGTACCCGAAATATTTTTTTCGTGTGTTGTTTTATTCTGTGCGTGGATGTGATCTGGTACCTGAGTATGATATGATGGCCCTTGCCGTTGGTGTGCTACGTGCATGACTCTGCCACCGTTTCGCAGTCAATTCGTCCATTTTTGGCTTTTGTACCAACGATCTAGTTGTCCGCGAAAATCGGCCTTGATATTGATGCTTGCCCTTCTAGGTGGACAGCTGCTGTCGACCGCAGCGTTACATACAACCTTCTGTGTCTTGAAACCCGGCGTTGGTTACCGGGCTGCAAGACGGCAGATAAAAGGGTTTGCTCTTCGCAGGATAGGTTGGTGCATGTGGTGGTTTCGTCCACCGTTGGTTGTCGAGATTCGACGGATTCATCCCTCCGCACGGATGGGAACATCTGCTTGCCATCCTCTCGCTTGGAAAACGGTCGAGAATGTGAATTTGAAGGTGATATGGATAAACATGAATGTCATAGATTGTAGTCCTCGATGTTCACGTCCAAAAGCAGTCAACCGCGGGTGGGCTACGGTACAGTCCTTGATTCCCACATGGGCTCCTGGGTGGACTAACGTTCCCGTAGCCTGCTTCGCTGTGGGAGGGGGGGGGCTTCGCGGCTTGTGGGCGTCCCGTCGCGGTTATTTGAGATAACAGTCGGGCAACAACCGCGGAAGTATGCACCGAATGCAGAGGGAAGCATGGTGTGTGCACCTCGCCGCGTTTTTGTCGCCCAACCACGAACGATAACCGAATGAATGCAGAGGGTTCATTCGGTAGATGCCATCATCTCGCCACAGCAAAAGTCGGCGTGAATGTCCCACAACAAAGGCGCTGTAAATGCCGACTACTGCTGCTGTGGCGAGATGCAGAGGGTAGTTTGTATGATGCGGTTCAAACCGAGAGTTACGCAGCCAGGAAAACCATCACTCCTCTAACACGAACGCCAGTAAGTTAACAGAAACACACTACACACCAAAACTAACGCACTGCTCTCCACAGGGCGAGTGAAGGTAGCCCTCTTTGAAATCAGAGCGAGATGTAGATTTTGGTGAGCATCATCCCACCTGAGGCGATCTGCAGCAGCAGTCGATCAGAGGCTCTGTTTTGCGTGCGAGCGCAGTCTCAGCACTGCGTTCCGGTGATCGCAAGCCACGCTATCTAGCAGCCCTTTCGCCTAACAACTACATTGACCAATTTGAACTGGAGCACGACAACATTGAATGTACCTACTGCTGTACATTGGTGGCCTCGGATCACCCGGCCGTTTGGGATGTCAGGGTCAAGGGGCTTGATCGGCACATCTACGGTAGGGTGCACCAAGGGAGCAAGAAAGGCCAAGCCTGTGACGACCTGCCCCTACAAGCATGGCATGTTTCACCGCTGAGATGCGGGGTAATTTACAACTTTCGCGTTCGCTTCCCCCGCCCATCGGGCTCTTAGACAGACCCCACAAAAAATATTTGTGCCAATCATGCCTCCGCCAAAGTGGCAGCACCAAGCACCCCTTTCCAACTACCCCCCCCTCTTCCTCCCTTTCCACGCTGGCTTGTTTAGTACTCTTCTCTATCTCAACCATTTGTCTGCACAGATAGCCATGCTTCTTTTCCACTCGACCTCCATCATACCTCCTCCTTCTCCCTGTTTTTCTAACTTCCTTGTCGACATGAAATAACTTCACCACCACACAAAAAAAAAACTGCCGAGAATATCTCAAGAGGACCAGTACGGTTGCCCGAGGCAAGCTGCGTTGCTTTATCTTCTGTCGATACGAAAAACATACTCCAGGACTTCAAAGACAAAAACGAACCCCCCTCGGTACAGTAGGGGGGAACACACACGCCTACTTCGATTTTCCGTGGTCCTCGTCGAGCAGCACATCGGAGCTCAGGTTCGCGAGGGGGTCGTCGTTGTTGGCCTTGGTCAACCGGTACGCCTCCATGTCCTCCTTCGTCACCTGGACAATGACGAAAAATATCAACACATCAAACAATTTTCACGCATGCATAGCCGTAACAAACAACGTGTGACATGACAAAAAACATTGTATGTAGGCACATTCAAACTCAACATACGCCCAGCATCCAGCCGGTTCCTGTTCCCCATTCACTGCTTTAACCGCTTCAACACATCCCTTTTGACTGGGGGTATTGCATCATCTCGAACCGGGTAGTGTTCCAGTGACTGCATGTACCGTAGGTTGCCCAACATGTCAAACCCCCTGGAGCGACTTCCAAAGCTCGACTGCTCCACGACGAAGGGAATGCCAAAATTGAAGAATGCATTGTCGGAAAGCTCTCGACGAGACGGTTCCAACGCCTAGCGCCATTTTCGATACCGTCACTGCTGTTCCTGCCGAGGTATCGAGCTTCAAACATCGGTCCAGGGGGCGTGGAATCTTACGTCATGTCACCTACGGTATAGAAGTAAACATTTTACATGGCAGCACTAGCATTTTTCGATGGACGAAACGCACGTGCTGGCAGCGGCTTCATGAGTAGTCATCTCCCAGAGTGTCTTTTTCCGTCCCATGTAAAATCTTGTACGCATTATCCTACTGCATGTAGCTTTCTCAAGTAGGCCCAGGATGGTGATCAACACTTCTCCTCTACTTTACCGCTTGGGTGAACCATACAGAGATACGCCGAGGACACAGGCCAGACAAGCCTTTGATGACTACGCCACCAACTGCCGCCACTACAACCACCTTCACTAGCACAACAACACCAGCAGCAACAACAACAACACCAGCAGCAACAACAACAACAACAGCAGACAGCAACAACAACGACCAAAAACTTACATCAGATGACGTCATGGAGTTGTACTTGCGCTTCCGGTCGTCCACCTCCTCTCCCCCCTTGCTCAAGAACGCCTTTTGCTTCTTCACCGCCTGCGTTCGGTCACACCGCAAGCAGTTGTGATGGTGGTGGTGGACCAGACACGACAAAAAACGCGGGGGCAACGACCAAAGCTTAACGTTAGAGTTCATTCGCCCTACTGCTGTGCTGTTGCCAATTTCAAGGAGAAGAAGGGCGGTTGGCCCTGGGAACGACGGACACACTGAGTACAGGACGCAAAAAGAAGCGTTTCGGGAGGGGTGTGTGGCGAGTCAATGGCCGCGACGCAAGTCCGACGGCAAACGTTGAAAATCACACGGTTTACCGACAACACCCGCAGCAGCAACCACAAAGCGCAACAACAGCTGAACATCGTGCGGCGCTCGGGTAAGCCACTCCGGACGTGCATCACTAGGGGCCCGACGGGTCGTGTCTGAAGCGTTTTTGACTCAGCGTTGATATTCTTAAGATCTACATTACATGTACATACTGTTAGTCTAGCGCGTCAATCGAAGTTGTGACCAACTGGTGAAACTTCATCCATTTTACAACAAAACAAAACAAAAAACAGGGACGGCCATGACCACCACCACGACAAAGCACGGCCACAACCAACCAACAGCAAAGACGATGCGAACAGCAACAGCTAAACAACTTAGCGACAACGGCGACAAGAACCGCAGGTTACCTCCTTGAGCTTATCCTCGTCTAGGTCAACGTTGGCCGTACCCTCTCCGTAGAGGTCCGATCGTGCCGTCATCTCCGGCACCTGGAAACAGACACACATACAGGGATGCAGAGAAACACCCAGGTAGAGGAATAAATGCCAAAATAGAGAAGAGATAAATAAACTACCATCACACGCTTATTGTCCATAGACTTCCTCGAGAAAAAGAAAAAATATTTATTGACTCGCCCTTTGCACAAAGAAAGACAACGAAGTCGAGCGAGAAAAAAAACGAAAATTCTATTGGTACTGGTTTTGGAAAGGCACAACGTCATAAGAGTATTTTCATCATTTACAAGCATTCGAGAAGACGTTGCTGTGTAGATTATCTTACCTTGGACGCCTCCCCTTCCTTTCTTCCCTCGAGCATCTTCCGCTCGCCCGCCAGGTCGACATTGAGCACAGAGTTAGCTTCATCGTTCGCAACCTTCACGTGTCACACGCCCACACAAACGGAGAGAACAAACGGGTGATACTGCTGTCAAAAACATCATCGTCGTCCCTTTTACTGATCGTCAGTAGTACGCTCACAAGTTACACACACACGGAGAGAACAAACGAGGGGCACTGCTGTACGACAAAAAGAGGTTATAGAAGGGCTACACGGCAATCCAAGACCTCAAGGTACCGACGACTTCACGACAAAAAAAGGTGAACTTGCGGTCAAGGGTTACACCGCAAGCTTGCCAAGGCCCTCACCTTCCCCTCCTCGCCAGTGCAGTACGACTTGAACGTGAGCGAGTGGCAGCAGCTGAACCCCCACCTCATCGACCTCTTGTCGAAGTAGCTGCCCCACACCGACGTGTGGTTCGATGGGAACACGTTCTCCTCGTACTTTGATTTCGCGACGGCCTGCGCGTATCCGACATGGTCCGATTCCCGAGAGAGGATAGGAGGATAGCAGCGTTAAGGGCAACGGCGGGACAGATTATGAGCGGAGACGAAACGTGATGGGATGAACGAGGCAACAGCAGTGAGGGACGGTGTGTGTGTGTGTGTGTGTGTGTATACTCATGTCAACCCACGCCGTACTCGTTAGGCCTGTCATCATCTTGCGCGGTTTTCTGTTCTCAACCAAGCAGGAAAGCAGCCGGTCGGGTCGAATTGGCCATTCATGCTTGTGTGCTTTCTGCTCCTATTCATTCAAGCCCAACGTCGAGTCGAAACCGCCATGAACACCACCAGCCAGTCACCTCACGACGTTGTCTACAGTTGAGTCAAGACCGGCACGGGTCGGAACCGCCCCGATCATCATCAGCCAACCACCTCACAGTCAAGCCCAGCGCGGGTCGAAATTATCAGCCAATCAATCAATCAATCAATCACCTTCGGCGCGCCCTTGACGACACGGCCCGTGCGGTCGTACTCCACGTAGCTCTCCGTCTGCCCCACCAGCAGCCTTGCGTCCGGCACGTCCAGGTGCTCCGACCCTCCATACTTGTCGAGGATGCGCTGCTTTTGCTCCTATTGGCCCAAGAGGGAATGGCGTTTGCAGCACACAACAGCAGCAACGTCAGGGAGACTCGAGTTAGCATCCATACAGCACTACTACCAAAATCGATGGCGTTTCCTCCCTATGTGGTTTGCACCCAATGGTGGTTCTCCCTCAAGGGGGTTTGCACCCAATGGCGTCCCCCCCCCAAACGGGGTTTGCACTCGATAGCGTTTCCCCCCAACGGGGTTTGCACTCGATGGCGTTTTCCCCCGATGAGGTTTGCACCCAATGGCGTTTCCCCCCAATGTGGCTAGCACCCAATGGTGGTTCTCCCTCAAGGGGTTTGCACCCAATACTTGTTTCATGAGAGCGTTGCCCCGTTCGGTTCTGTGTGCGCACTCGTCAAGGATGTACAAGATACGCCGCTGGCGGTGCTCCTCCGTGGGGAAAAAAGACCGCGAGGAGGCGACGACAACAACGACGACCCTGACAACTGCAACTGCAGCAGCAACAGAGCAGCAACAGCAACAGTAACAATGACAATGACAACGACAACAACGACAACAAGAACGACACATGAATCCATCACATCCTGACGAGAACATCTGCGCACCTCCTTGAGAGTAGTCTTCTTGTCATCGAACTTCTTCCTGAGCATCTCGGCCTGGCTGGGGTCCGCTACGGGGTGCACCTCCTGCCCGCGATCGGCCGCCTCCCACGCGAATACCGACGTGCGAGCTTGCTCCCGGACGTCGCCGGTGTAACTGTCACGAAAAAAAAAAAAAAAGAGGCGTGTTTCGACATCGACGGAAACAGATATGATGCTCGGGGAACTGTAGAAACCCTGGTAGTGCCCGCTAACGCTATGGATACACTCATGTTGCTAATCCCCCCACTCTTCTCCGTGGAGAGACGGATTTGGTGTGTTGTAGGAAGAACAAAAATACATTTTCTGGGTACTTTCAGAACGCGCCCGCACTCAACCCAAATAGTTTCGGCCGAGGCTGGGGTTCTTATGAAGTAGCTCTTAGGGTCATGCGACAAATGTTCGCAATATAGGTCGTATGAAGTGTAGGGGTTCTTAACCGAGCTCACAAATGGTGCTCAAGTTCTTAACTTTTGGTGTTTTTGAGGCTCAATTTCTCGACTCCTCTGTTCTACACAACGGCAGTGCGCGCTTGCGCACGAGGTGCACCGACACACTCTTGAATTCAACCGTCAATACACAAGCCAACCCCAAACGCACGGTACAAAAGTCAGCACCCCTCCGCGCCCCCCCCCCCCC